GGCTATGATAATCATTAAGAACTTTTAGCTCACCCTCTCAAAGAATGCAGTTTCTAGCCTATATCTCACATCATGGAAATGGGCAACTTTAGTTAGGCTAGCAGAACTAAATGGAAGACTTGTTATTACCCATTTGAACTTGCTTCATGGGATCTCCAATCACACAAGTTGGTTTCCCATCCTCATTTGTTTCAAGTGACACTAGTCCCATTTCCTTCGATGTTTCGGTTATCATTTTTCGTCCTAGGGATTCTGTCAAAGGAGTAGCTAATTCCTTCCTCAAAATTAATGGAAATAATTCCATTCTCAAACGTCATTGCACCACTTTTTAAGGGTGAATGGATATCCACTATTTTAATTTATCTCATGCGAATCGACTCAAATGTCATCGTTGTATCCCGGCAATACAACGAATAACTCTCAATAAGAAATAACATCGATGTGACCCTCTAGTACATCGGATAATTCTCAATAATATATATAACATCATTTTATCATTATAGTACAATAGATAATTCTTATATAACATCTCAAATATCTCATTAACCGCCTCTACACAGTCCAATGATCCTCACTTAGATTTTTAGTAAATTGGCTCAATCTTCCGACATCATAAGCTATGTTAGGCCTCGTATAATTCATCAAGTGCAATAAACATCCAATAATTTAGGAATACTCATATTGGGTCTCAGGATCACCTGTATTCTTTTACAATTGTATATGAGAGTCTAAGGGGTACTCACAGGGGTAACATTGAAATGTTCAAACCTCTTTAATCAAAAGTTTATCATCATAATGCTATTGAAATATTATAATACATAATCCTTCCTTATGACTTTCATACCCAAAATCACATTTGCTACCGGCAAACTTTTCATACTAGAAATTCACATATAATCCACAATTCCACATACAAGTAAACAATAATGCACACACCATTTCACATTCATTGCATACACACTTTGTGTTATCAACCACATGACCCTCCGGTTGCACCATATAAATTTTTTCCTCTAGCTCACCATTTAAAAGCACAATTTTAACATCCACTTGATTAAAAAAGTTTATGGATAGAGTCAATTCAGTCTATATGGCCCCAATAAAAAAAAGTTTTTTTTTTTAAATTGTTTCTAAATAAGTCAAAAATTCATCATTAATAAGATTATGTATAAAAAACATTTCTAAAAGATTTTTCTATCTTTGGTTTCTTACTTCTTCTCAAAAGAGAAGATTCATCATTAAAAGAATCATTTTCTTTTAATGGATCACTATCACTAGAGGGTTCATCATTAAAGGTTCATTTCCTTGTACTGATCACACACTATATGGCGCAACGGTCTTGTGTTCAATATTCAATGGAAACACATTTTCAAAAATTAAGCTTTTTTTTTTTAAACAACATATAAACAATTAATCACACATGCATCATTTAGCGTGAACAAATTCTCCAAAAATGATCACATTAATATCAGCAATGATATAGCTTAAAGAATTGCACATTACTATGTACCATTTTCCGAGAGTTTCCGTGCTACATATATAGTAATACGGTGTGTACTTAGCCGTAACTCTTTCGCACAGCGTTCCTTTAATTCAGTGTAGAGTCATTGTTACAAATCATTGAATAATACGAAGGGCTTTGAAGCTTACCGAAAATTTATTTATTGAGAAGTAATTTGAGACTATAGGCATATGATTTGATATGAAACATTGGTCTAGAACGGGAATCTCTTTTATATGATATAAAATGCATCCAATAATCATTTAATTTACAATAGGCTATATTCTCCGTATACTTTTCGGAAATGATATACTTCGTATTTAATATGATATCTCTTTTATATGATATAAAATGCATCCAATAATCATTTAATTAACAATAGGCTATATTCTCCGTATACAGGGCCAGTCCTGGTATAGGGGCAGCCTGGGCTGCTGCCCAGGGCCCACCAGGAAAAAGGGGCCCATAGATTTTATAGTAGTTATTATATATATAAATTAATAATACTAAATATCTAAATTAATTAATAGTAGTCCGTATAGTCGTATACGGTAAGATATCAATCTCTATTTCGTAGTTCTAGATTGAGCCAAGGCCCACATGCGAGAGGAAGACTTTCGAACTCCCTCACAAAAATCGAAAATTAAACATTAATACCAATCCTAACCAATTCTGGATTTAGTTCCCAAACGTTGGATACTCAATCTTTCCGCCTCCCTGATACAAATCATATGAATCTCTTCGGTCTCTTATAATCAACTACACGCTTTGCTTAATTGATTCAACCGTCAGCCTTTGTTATTCTTTGCTCTCAAATCTTAAATACTCAATTCTCAAATTCTTAATTTTTGCCTTTTCCTCTAATCCTCTCTAGACCTCTCAAAGGATTCAACCATCACATGAGGACGAGCACTGCCGCACGGTGCTCACAGGCATTTACTAATTATGTAAATTGACTACATTAATTTATAATTTTAATTATTTAGTATATTACTTTATGGGTTTACTTGTAGTACTAAGCCAATGGCGGATAGCTTCTGTCTTTTTCATATTTTTGCATCCTTTTTTCTCTGGGTTTACTTGTATCTAGTATATTACTTAGAAAATGGTTTTTAATTAAGGATATAAAGTTGAAATTTATTTATATCTTTTTTAATCTTTCCATACAATTGGCCGATTGCTATTTTGCATTTTCGCTTTTTAATCACGAGCTTTTTGTAGAGGATCATATATTGCAAGCGTTCACCGGCACTAACATCTATAGGGCCTATTTTTTGTCTTTTGCCCCGGGCCCATAATTAGTCAGGACCGGCGCTGTCCGTATACTTTTCGGAAATGATATACTTCGTATTTAATAACTTATTTATGAAAATTAAAAAGAATACTCGTGTCTATCAAAAATTTAAACTTGATACCATATACTCCGTACTACAACATGAAAATTTTATAATAACTTTTTTTCGTACTACAATATGAGAAAATGTCAGTAAATCGTTCATTATTGCATACTACGTACTCCGTATTATGTTACATCTACATTCTTATAAGAGTGAATATTGGTAAGGGTACAATTGTCATAAAAAATGTGTTGGTGTCTCTTGCTGCATAAAGTCGTTGTACATCATGCATGATTTTTTGTACTTTTACATTTATTATGGTTTGTGTTTAACGGGAAAGTAGTTTTCCGTCATTCAACCCTATCCTTTCACCTTATCTTCTCTGTTCAAACACCTCAACCTATTTCCCCAGCCTTTTCCGTTAAGATACAATGCGGCGGCCAATGACCACACACGTGAGACTCCGATTGGTCTCGATTGTTCGGCGGCCGATGGAGGGAAAGAAGCCCAGCGCAGCCCTCTGCATCATTTGCGACTCCAATGGGGCAGTTATGGAACTTTAAGAGGCGCTGAGAACCGACTTCGTTCTGCTCAGATGAGAGCTTGACGCCTGCGTTCATCACCTTCCTTCTTTCCTTCATCTTCTTCGTGTCATGTAAGTTTTTAATTTAGTTTCTTTTAATTTTATTGAGGAATACATCTAATGATTTTATTGAATATAGAGTTGACACTCAATTCATTGAATATAGATTTCACCTTCGATCGTAACGCTCAATCCTTTATACATCTGTTTTACTCCCTCGATAACCCATATGAACCGTCTCTACCTTTTCCTCTGATTTGTCTACCAGGTCATTAGCTTTTAGGGACCCGAATCGGCGGCAAATGTCAATTGCTTGGCATCCTTTCATCTCCTTAGCTTCACCGTGTCTCCCGTGAGTTATTATTTTCCTTCATTTTGTTAGTTTAGCTGGTTGGACCCAATAAGCTGAAATCTGAAATGCTAGGGAGGGCAGGGTTTAGACTTGGCGGTTCCGTTTTATTCCCTTCGTGCTCTCCGCCTTCATGCCTCTAGCTTCGTATATTCATCGCCTCCTTAATCAATGCTACTTTTTCTTTAGTCGTGCACCTGCAAATCTCGCCTCCTCTCTCTGCTTCTTCCGCCAAAACCTGAAAAACCTATGTAGAAGTATTCTTCGACCATCTAGAAACAAGGAAGTATGTATTCATATTAATTAATTTGTGTATGATATAATGTGTAATCGGATATTTTAGTATGGTTTTGTTCCTTTTGGTGTGTTCCATAGGTTTTGGCTCATCCAGCAAAAAATTGTATGATTATACAATTTCTTATTTGTTCTTAAGCCATTGAAAGCATGGAATTTATTTTCTGTGAGCAGTGTTTTTATAGATTGAACTATTGAAGGGTAAAAGGAGGACTTGAGTACTCATGGTTGAGGTTAATGCGTTATTTAGCTTTGTGTTCTCCATTGAAAAGCTTCAAGTTTATTTATGTTGGTCATGAGTTACGCCTTATGTTGAATATAATGCTTTTATTTAAATCCACTCTGCAGCCAATATGAATTCATAAATCGGTCCCTAATGGCTGATGGTGAAGCTGTTCTTGGTGATAGTTGTGTAATTGGAATATTTGAGCATTGTCGACACTCCTTATGGTTATCTTGCTTCAAAGTATATGCAATTTGTGTTTTCATTACTTTATCATATGGCAATGAGGTCTCAGAATTTCACTACAAAAAAACACTTGATTAGTTACGGTTTTACAAACGGGAAACCAAGAAAAAACCGTCTCTAAAAAAAATAGGGACGGATCTGCGACGGGAAATATCCGTGGCGATACGCTGGTCGGAAATTTTACTTACGGTTTGTTTCGACGGTTTTTTTTATTTAGCGACGGATTTTGCGACGCTTTTATCTGTTGCAATCAGCGACGGTTTTTGCCGTCACTAAGCTGCGCAGTTGTCCAAACCATAAATGCATCTTACAAACGGTTTTATCCGTCGCTAATTGACCATTCCAAAAAAAAAAAATTGCTCGGCCAAGCGATTATTTAATCCTGCTTTTCAATTCAAAACCCAATTCACAATCCCAATTACACCTATTTCATTTTCACAAATACTTAAAGCCACACATTCATTTAATTAAAAGCCAAATGCAACAATAATTCAAATAATAATAAAACCATCCGTCACATACAATCCTTACACTTGGAGCAGTGTTAAACATAGCACAAAATACAAATGTTCAACATAGGAATAGAAATAAGTTGTTTTTAATAACTAACTATTACAACAATTCATTCTTTCTCTTGATTAGTATTGTTGTTGCTGCCTCCACTCGCCAACAAATTGTCAATAAAATTGGCATTTTCATCTTGAGTCATGTTGGTTGGAGTTGATATAGGCATGAATTGAAATGGTTGAGTTGTAGGTTGCATGGATGGTGGACCTTGCACATTATTAAAACCTGGAAACATCGTCGGGTAGTAGGCCGGAGGTTGAGAAGAAACTTGTGGGGTACCTCCAAAAGCGCTAGGGACCATTGTTGGAACTTGTTGAGAGAAATTGAATGTATTTTGTTGAGGACCGGATGAACCATTTTGGGGAAAAGTATAGTGATTTTGGGGAGGAAAAAAAGATGTATTTTGTTGAGGAAACATGGGAGGCATTTGTGGTTGAGTACCGGAAGTAGATTGACAAAACCCATGATAGAGAAACGGATTCATCCATGGACCCATATTTGCTTGCATGGCCGCTAGTTCTCTTAAGTCCTTCACTTCTTTCCTCAAGGCCTTCATCTCCTCCTTAATAGATTCACTATCGGGGTCACTTTGTGCGGAGGCACAATGTGTGGATTGCAAAGAGCCGGTACGCAAATATTCGGGGCCAAGAGCCCCCCATCCTAGAATTCTTCCACGGTTGGGTGGAACAGTTTTTATATAGAGGGCCGTTTTATCCACTTTTGCGTTCTCCCCTTGAGTTGCCAAAACAGCCTCCTTCGCAACTTTGAGCTTATCCTGTTTATATTTTATATTATTTGGACAAGTTAAGTTAATAAAATCTTTATTGACAGTAAAATGTCTAAAATTAACTTTTAATGCACAACAATATTTACTTAACACGTACCGCTATCTCTTGAACTCTTGGACCACTCAATTTTCCAGTTTTCTTGTTAGTATATCCATCATTCAAGATCTCTTCCGCGTCGGGGGTCCTCCCCAATTTTTCCTCCTTTGGACGTTCAAAATACAATATACAAAATACAATATACTGAAATTAGAGAGGGCAGCAATAACATCTGGTGCACTCTATATTACTTGAGTCACTGCCTTGATCCTTTGTTATCTTTATAACATCTATCCCTTTTAATTACATACATATTAATTTGATATCATCTACTTGCATGCATTTTATATACACAATCAGTTACTTACTATGATGGTGAAACAATCATCACTATGTATATTCAAACAAACAATTAGTAACGCCTTTTGAGATCTTATAAAAGTGATGGTACGTAGCTAATCTCCAACAAAAAAACTAAAAAATAATATGCATTTTTTACTTCACTATATTAATTTATTGAAGTCACTACACAATTTCAATACTACGTACACATCTAGGTACACATCTATACCCATTCTGTTGCATCTCACAATTGTTCCAACTGAGCAGAAACTGAATAATTAGTACTATCACAATACCAAACATTACTTTTCAGTGACCACTGCACATATAAGATTATTAGTTATTGATTTAGAAATATCAGTCACTATAAGAACTACTACCTTATTCCTCAAAAACACACTGTTACTCATTTGTGAACACTACATTAAGTCGGTGAAACCTCCAACCCACCTGTGCACACCATTTATTTATAATAAAAACACTTATTAATACAAATATTAATTGTTAGTAACATCTTACCAGCCGTTCTGCTCTAATGACTTCTGAAATTGATCCACCACAATAAGGAGCGCTCCTACAAGCTTCAGTGTTTGCATTCAACTTATTTGTTTCACACAATTTCTTAAATTCGGCAGACTCCCACTTCTTCAGCATTCCAGCCCAATCTTAGCTTTCGGTGAAATCCAAGACAGGGTTTTATTCTTACGCCGGCAAACATGAAAACAGTTCTTGAACCACGAAGATACTTTCTTATTGAACTTTTTCCTTAAGACGGTTACTTCACAAGGACGATATGTGTGTCGCCGCTACAAATCAAAGAAAATTATGCTCTACAAAATTCAATTGTAAATTTTAAACTTCAAATGTAATATATTACCAAAAAGTCTTGAAACCACGATTCTTTAATGTTTTTCGGAACTTTATTAAAACTAATCCAAGAGCCTCTAAATGAGCCTTGAACAATGTCTTGAATCAAGTCTAGCTTTTCTCGCCTACAGACATTTATAAAACGTATATCTTATACTTACATTTATAATGAACAAATATTATTAATTAATGACAAAATAAAAAACATGCATGCACGTAACTAGACTAAGTAGATAAAAATCATATTTTAGCTTTGTTTCAAAACTCCAATCAAAGGATATGCAAATGAAATTTCTTGAACATTCTTAGTGACCAAACAAAGGCTTACACTCTCTATTATTGAAGCATCCTTGACCATCATAAACTGACCTAATGGTTAAAATACGTAGTATTAATACTCTGTATAATTTTTATTTCAATGGTAGAATATTAATGTATGCACTACATATCGATGGTAGAGGATTCAAAGTAATAAGAGGCAAAGGTTGATAACTCTTCATCAATGTATGCACTACATATCGATGCTTCAATATGTGCTTTGTTTGTTATTTTCTTCTTAAGAGTTCCAAGAAACCTGCAATGATCATATTAAAAAAAATCTATAGAAGATATATCGAATATATCTTCCTAAAATATTGAAATGATATCTACCTCTCAAACATATACATCCAGCGATATTGTGGTGGACCACAAACTCTAGCTTCAAACGGCAAGTGAATGATTAATGTTCACTTACATCAAAGAACCCGGGTGGAAAAACTTTCTCCATGTTGCAAAGAAGAAGAGGGACAGTTTTCTCTAACTGTCGAAGTAATGTAACATCTACAACACGAGTACATAGAGTTTGGAAGAATTGACTCAATTCAGCAACTATCTGCCACACTGTACTCGGTAACATCTCTCGAAATGCAATTGGTATTGTTTGTCCCTATTCTAACAATCAAACAATCATAAGAATGGAGAAGAAGCAAATAGATTGAACAGAAATTTGGTACATCGTGTAAACCGGCCGCTGCTCTCCCTCTAGAGAGAGAGAGCAGCCTGAAACTATTCTCTCTATTCTGCCTCTATAGTCTAATGCCTTAGGTTTTCTCTTAAGTTAGCCTCCTTTTATAGGTAAGGAAGTCTAACTTAAGGCTTACAAGAGAGGCTAATGGGCTAATATTCAATTGTGGCCCATATTACACATTTAACTAACAACTACACAAATACAACGACATATAACTAGATTGGACACCAGAAAAAGTCCTAACAATCTCCCCCTTGGTGTTCAATCTTGTTTGATCAACATTGCAGCGCAGATGTCTTTGTCTTTGTGTTCAGTTGCTCCTCAATGCAGCTCAACTTCCTTTGTCTTTGCACTCGGCTTCTTGAAAAGGCTTTTTGGAGAAATCCTTGCAATCTCCCCTTTGATGTCTTCATGGCAATTTGTTCTTTGATGCCGGGGAGTTGAAGAATCTTCAGGATGTAGCTTGTGATCTTTACCTTTCAGAAGTTGCTCTTGATCAGCATTAATGAATTCCGATGGCGCCTCTTGAACGAGTGTTCTGGTGATATACAGGCGCACACAGGATTCATCTTCAGAACTTGAATACTTGACCTTTGTCTCCTCAAAGTTTACATTGCACAGCGGAAAATTATTGTCTTTGAGGAGATCTCGTCAGTGGCACAGCGGAATAAGATAGTTGACTTGTGAGCGTAGCTGACCATTTGACTTGAAGCTGGCTTGGCCATTTAGTAGTAGAGATAGTGGAGAAAGTGTCCAAAAATGATTTGTTGATAGTGAACAACATGTGGACTACTCTCCCCCTCATGACGATCCGATGAATCGGGGCGTCATGCCTTTATTCTTTTATTCTGGGAAACAAAATTGAAAACAAACAGAAAGTTAAAAGATAAAGACCGGATACACAGAAGTGTTCCGTTAACACAACATCAATGTAAACACTGATGTGTGGCCTGTATAAAATGATAGAAGCATCAAAGCTCTAACAGGACTTCCAACCACTCATTATGAAGCATCTGAAGTAGATGTCACTCTGGTTGTTAAGGCATGATCATGAAGATCAGCAATGGAAATCGTAGCCCCCCGAGGTCGCGTAGACACCCGTTATCATCACTGTAGAGATAAACTCTAAAGCGATGGCCTGAACGTGTTGGTGATTTCTATGTTGCAACAGCAGGACTTCCTTCCAATCATCGGTCTATCTATAGTAGATGAGCCCTATGGAAGTTCTCGCATGGTCACTTGGACCTGCAACTGACTCAAAAATGTGTCTGTGTCCTAGAAAATTCAAAAACATTTGGGAGTGAGATAACTAGACACAGCGTGATCAATGAAAGTCCAGTGGCATGGGGCTGAGGCCACTGTAGTCAGTATCACTTGCCTCGGAAGGAGACAGTAATGAGAGATGAGGTTCCCCGTGAAATATGATTAAACACTTGTCTGTTGGGAGACAAATGAGTGGTCTTGGGTAGGGTTATGCATGCACTGTTGGACAAGATGCAGTGACTTCTACCCGGGATCTGAATAAATTCAGTCCTGAACCTGTGGGGATTGTCCAGAGTATTTGAGTGACTGGGAGTAAATGTTCAATTGATAGCAGGCAGTTGAGGTAGCAGACTTATCATTGATTATTGTTCTCTTGCTCGATTGAGCCTACTGCTTCCTAACGCTCATAGAGTTCACTCACTCATTCATTCACTCGCTTACTCTTGGCTTTGTCCCTTGGGTAGGCTTAGTTGGGTTTACTAAGCCATCAGGACTTCTCTCTCATTTCTCTCTCATTCCTTTGTTTATTTTCTCTCTGTGCTCCCCCTCAACTGAAGCACTCGGTATGCTTTTTCATCGTTCGGTGCCGAGGAGGATAAAATTGAAAAATCCCCCTCAAATGTTGCATCCTTTGAGAGAATCCTTGCTTTGTCGTTGTGTGGCGCCAGGAGGAGAAGACTGTAACTCCCCCTCAGATTGTGCAAGGTTTGATTGCTCACAGCTTGATATACCCGCCATGTGTATGGAGCAATCTGTACTGGTACCACACATGACGGTTTACCCTGAACTCATCGTCTAGAATTTCAGCACAGTGATGATCACACATTGTTGATGAGTTAGGGGAGGCATCAGTAGTTGATTGTTGATTGTTGTGAAATGACCGTTGACGCGAGGTTGATTGAATTATCTACGAGTTCCGGACCTTACAGTGTAGATTAGACCAACTTTGACTTTTGTTTTGACTTTGGTTTGAATTTGGAAGAATTGACCAGATTTGCCTCAGTTTTGACCTTGACTTTGACTTTGGTGATTTTTCGGAAAACAAGTGATATCTCCCTCAAAAACAGCTTTCCGAAAAGGTATTATACGCGTAAATCGGATCACCGAGTCAAAAGTTATGGCCAAAACAGTGCAGGACATCGAAAAGTTTGAAAAATGAAAATTTTTGGAATTTTTCGAAAGTGAGGTTCTCGAAGTTGAATCTCGAGATCTTTTTCTCGATATTGGATACCGAAAACTTTTTCTCGATGTTGAGTATCGAAAACATCTTCTCGATGTTGAGTATCGAAAACATCTTCTCGATGTTGAGTATCGAAAACATCTTCTCGATATTTGAATATCGAAAACGCTTTCTCGATAAATGAATATCGAAAACTTTTTCTCGATGAATGAGTATCGAAAACTTTTTCTCGATGTTTGAATATCGAAAACTTTTTCTCGATATTGAATATCGAAAAGTTCTTTTTCGATATTTGAATGTCGAGAAACATGTTTTCGAAGTTCAGGCTGCGAGAAACGTGTTTTCGAAGTTCAATCTGCGAGAAACGTGTTTTCGAGGTTCATCCGCGAGAAACCTGTTTTCGAGTTCAAATATCGAGAAACCTGTTCTCGAACATCAAATGGCGAGAAACCTGTTATCGACCTGCAATCTGCGAGAAACATGATATCAAAGATTAACATCGAAAAGCTCGAGACTTCGAAAACTTTAGAGTTTCATACCAGTTTAGGATATCGAAAACTTTGCCTTTTCAAAAATGTCAGAACATCGAAAACTTCCTTTGAAAACCTTCAGAATTTCGAAAACTTATTTAATCATTGAAAATATGTAAACATCGAAAAATGCTGTTAAAGCTTCGAAAACTGCAAAAAAATATCAAGATTCGAAAAATCCTGAGTTTTGAGAAAAGCCAGAGTTCGAAATATACTAAACATCGAGAAACTTCCAAAACGTCGAAATCTTTGAGTATCGAAAAGTTTCAAAAACAACAAAACATCGAAAACTCCATTTTCAAAAACACTTCAGAAACAGAATTTAAGGATGTTTTCAAACAGATTTTGATCCTAATCTTCCAGAAATCAAAGAAAATCGTTGA